GAGCCATGTTGCTAGTAACCAGAAACAACCAATGGTTACCACTACATTGCTTAAAAAAAAAGTCTCTTAAAAACAAACTGTCCTAAACAAAGGGCAGTCCCCTCCCTTTCAAAAAAAACACCCCCACAAACCCCAAATCCACGTTATATCTTTCATTATAGATCCACATATATGACATGAATGTAAAATTTTGTATTTTGCCTTCTTTACATACATTTTCTTAAAAAACACTTAAAAAGGACAAATATTCAGAGGGAACATTAAGAAAATGATCATGCACATTGCAAAATTTTCCAAACATGCCTTTTGTAAAGAACACCAAAATGAGCTGAAACAAAAGCTCTCTCACAAATATTTCTGATTTTGAGGAAGGGGCACCTTTTGATGGAAATATGTCCTAGAGAAATGTTTACAATCCACTGCTGAAAGCTGTAGTAGATCATCAAATAAAAGACTAATGTATAAGCAATACTGAATACCCCCCAAAATGTTTCTGAAAGTCACAGCGCCGTTTCCAAGGACAGACTACAAAGATCAACTGCTTTGAGGGCATTATTTTGTAAGCATGAAAGCCCACAGTCTACAGTATTAAAAGGAATGTACCTAAGAGAAATGATACATTGAAATATGAGAATAATCTAGAGCTTGAGAAATATAGATTTGTGATCCTTATCTGAACAAAAACTACAATGCTAAAGTAGATGTCCTAGGTTTGGCTATCTGACACCAGGTAACAGGTAAATCCATTCAACAGTGCTGCTCTCTACAGCTCCCTGAAAGGAGGATGTGGCGAGGTGGGATCAGCCTCTTCTCCCAGGCAACCAGCAGTAGGACAGGGGGAAATGGCCCCAGGTTGCAGCACGGGAGGTTCAGGTTGGATATTAGGAAGATTTCTTCACTGCAAGAGTGGTGAAGCATTAAAATGGGCTGCCCAGGGAAGTGGAGTCGCCATCCCTGGAAGTATTCAAAGAAAGTGGATGTGGCCCTCCATGAAATGGTTCATTGGGCATTGTGATATTTGACTGAAGGTTGGACTTGATGATCTTGGAGATCTTTTTCAACCTTAATGATTCTACAGTTCTGTGAACAACAGTTGTTGAAGATCATGCATCACTGACCATTTCTTCATACAAATCACAGAATCATAGAGTGGTTTGGGTTGGAAGGGACCTTCCTTTGGAAGGGATCTTCCTCTGGAAGGATCACCTCCTTTCAAATCTCTGCCACAGGCAGGGACACCTCCCACCAGACCAGGTTGCTCAAATCAGACAACCTGATGGAGCTGCAGCAGAGCTGACTCGAGGCTTTTCTCAACAAGAGATGCAATGCATTGTTCCAGTGATTCCAGGGAGCTCATGGTAGTTGAGGAATGACCAGAAACTCCAAGGAGAAGGAAGATCAGCATAGGGCTGGAGAGCTCTGGATAGGGAGAAAAGACTAGATGAGGTCAGCAGCAGTTCCAGGTTGAGGGGAAGCGCAATGAACATAGTTTGGTAGGACTTAAAGGGGTATGAACTTCCTCTGTGTCTCTAGAGTGGTTCCTAGAGTGATCTGGTATTCCTTGCCCCACCCTACCCCAGTCCTAGGACCTCCTTCTCTTCTCCCAGTCACATCAAGAAAAAACACCTCCCAAGACTCACAGCTCCTCCCCTAGTTCTGCCTCCTACCCACAAACCCCAAGTATTAAATAATAAAATCACCAGGACTTGGTGTTTTGTAGGTAAATGGGTACACTACATCAAACAAGCTGGAGGACACAAGATATGTGGGAAGATCTTAAAATTTCTCAGTTCTTTCTTCGCTTTTGTTTACTTTGCCCCCAGTATTTTCCTGACTAGAGGAGTCTTGTCCATCTTTTGCTAGCCTAGAAAAGTCAGCCTCCTCCAGCTTCCACTTGCACAGCAATTTCCATTCACCTGATTGTTCTTGCTCTTCTTCTGTGCATCCTTCCTGACCAAATTTAGGTCAGCAACCATTCACACAGCATTCCAGATGAGGCCTTACAAAATTAATACTTCCCAGGTGATACTGAATATGCTTCTTTGGAGACTTTCAAAGACTTGCACCTGCAATTTTTATGGCTGCATTACTCTGGTGGCTCAGTAAGTGACACTGGCACTCTGGCTGATCTAAGCATCCCCAATCTTTCTTTCTGTCTGTCTTCCACCAAAATCTCTATGACATTAATTTCTGTGCTATTTAATATATTTCCATTTCTTTAAAGTCAATTATTCAGTCATCTAGTTCTGTGTCCTAATCCCCAGTCTTGAAGATGACACCTAGGTTACTTCACTGCTAAATTTTGTAGTCTCAGCTCTACTGCTAATATTCTGAACAATCCCAGGACTAAACCTCGAGGAACATCTTTACTCTGTTTTTTACTGACTCAGAGAATGGATCAAGGGAGGTGATTCTGCCCCTCTGCCCTGCTCTGGTGAGACCCCCCTGCAGTGCTGCCTCCAGCTCTGGGGGCCCAGCACAGCAAGGACATGGAGCTGTTGGAGCGAGTCCAGAGGAAGGACACCAAGATGATCAGAGGGATGGAGCAGCTCTGCTGTGAGGAAAGGCTGAGAGAGTTGGGATTGTTCAGCCTGGAGAAGAGAAGCTTTGGGGTGACCTAATTGTGGCCTTCCAGGACCTGAAGGGAGCCTGCAAGCAAGATGGAGAGAGACTATTTCCAAGGGCCTGGAGTGACAGGACAAGGGGCAATGGCTTCACACTGACAGAGAGGAGGTTTAGATTGGATAGTAGGGAGAACTTCTTTCCTGTGAGGGCAGGGAGGCCCTGGCACAGGTTGCCCAGAGAAGCTGGAAGTGTTCAAGGCCAGGTTGGATTGGGCTCTGAGCAATCTGATCTGGTGGAAGGTCTCCCTGCCCACGGAACTAGATGATCTTTAAGGTCCCTTCCATCCCTAATCATTCTGTGATTCTATGCCTCTATTTTTTTCTATTAACCCTGACCTCTCCCATCCCATGTAGCATTTTTCTGTACAGCATATGAACCTTGCTGTCCAGTTTCAGGGAAGGCACGACCGAGATCCAAAGAGTTAAGGAGCAGGAAAGATATAGCCCAATTTCTTTAAACTTAGTATTCCCTCAAAACAGAGACTCTGAAACCAGCAGATGTACACCCAACCTACCACGACTGCAGCAATTTTCACGTAGCTCTAACAGCAAAAACCTGTAGGAGGGGTAGAGTTTGTCTCCACATCTACCTCTGCCACCCTTCTGTTGTTGTATTATTTAAGACTTGCAATCACATTTCTGCGGCTTAAAACACTCTGTATCCACGCAGGCACTTGCCTCCACCTTATGGGGTGACAACAGCACACCCTCCTGAGGGCTCCACAGCAGACACGCAGACAAAAGGACTGTGGTCCAGTTCTGCTTTCAACAGGGATAAATTTGGAGTCACTTCACTGACGTCAGTGGAGTTATTCCAGAATTGCACCCGTGTAAAAGAGGGCAGCATCTGCTTTCTGAAAATGGATGCCATCAAGCTAATTGAAAACAACAGATGCATCAAGGAGCAGCAAGAAGAGAGGGTAATGCTCCAGTTTTCTTGTAAAATACCATTTAATTTCCCTCCAAAGAATGTAAGAGTATACACCAACATATACTGGAGTATACATCAATATGTAGTCTGAAAACTAAACCTTTTGTTGGTGTAAAATTGTATACAACCTTTCAGGTGAATGGAATGTGTATCTGCAATACCTGAAGAGATTTCCTCTCGTCATCTGCATTTACAGTCCTCTTCTTTGGGCCTGATTCTTCTCTCACACTTAAATAAGAAGTCATACCACTCATATTCTTAAGAAAGTATTTATCTAACCTTAAGTAGAGAGCAGAATTGAGACCTCTGTTTTCTTTAAACAAACAACAGCTGAATTTGGTAATTAAATGGATAAATTTGTGATTTACAACATTTTTTGACTAAAAGCCTTCCAAAACTTTACACCACTGAATAAATATCTTAGTGAAAATAAAGCCAAAGAAGGACTTACTGAATCTTCAAGGATAAGACAAAAGTTTCCCATAGATCTTGTCTCTAATAAATAGTCAACACAGCTTCAGTATTTGGGGTGACCATGGAAGTTGATGAGCACTTTCTCTTCTGTAAATCCTGTCTTTCTTTTCACTAAGAAGTACTTGCACATTGCTTCAGCCCCTCTTATTAATTTGCACTACAGACAACATGGATATTCCCAATGGTGAGAGTTTATCAGTGAACGTTTATGCTTTGGCAATGTAAAACCCACACTGATCACAGGCATGTGTTTCCCACAGTGTAAGACCATGCTATGCTATGCAAGCTCTTGTATCAGCCAACAAGCCCCAGACAGACTTCCCTGGATCACAGGAACACCCATGGAAAGCATGTGGAATTAACAGGTACTAACAGCATAAGCTACACTTGAAAACAATTAGTGCAGTCTCTGCCTGCTTTCCCAAAAAAACCATTTTTCTGGATTTATCTCCCTGGCTAGGCTCGTGTGTTACTTAGGACCTGACCCTCCAAAAGAAGAGCTCCTTCTTGAAGCTAGCAGGCAATTTCCTCACCAACTGTCTTTGGTGGCAGCTAAGGACATTCAGCATTCACAGGTTCCTTTCATCAGGGGATTAAGTCTTTTCATCCTGCAAACACCTGCTCCCCTCCTTCTGTGTAAAGCAGGTGACTGCAATTCAGGCATTAGACTGTGAACCTGCTGATAACACGGTTACAAATGTCTTCAGAATAGGATCTGTCTCTAGTGCAACTTCAAAGAGCAAGATGAAGAGCTCAAGGCTGTGCTTTCATTTACAGCAACGTAAATAGTGCTATCTTGTGCTTACAGGGCTGCCACTGAGGGCAGGATCTTCTTTAGTCTTAAACTTCCCTGTGGATTTCTCCACATACTACCACCATTAAGAAATAAATAGACAAAATGCTGCTGCTCTTATTTCTGTCAATATAAACTTTAAAGAGAAGCCTAACTTTGCTGAGCTCAGTAGACTTACTTGGACTCAAGTCAGATGAGCACTTTTGGGAAAGCTGTGGTTAACTCCTGCTGTAATCTGCAGATCCTTCCCTGGTGTAAACAGGACCTCAAGAAAAGAACAAACAAAAATAAGCAGTTTAACAAACAGTACATAAGCTTTGACTTGATGCAGAAGATTGAAGTTGGAGCCAGATATAATCCAAGGTAGTTGTACTAAAAGGAGTTTTGCCAGCTTGAATCAGCAGATGGTGAGGATCTGGCTCATACTATATTTTTGTAGTTTATAATTATCTTTCTTTCTTCACCTAGAACCAGATTCTCCCTTTAGGCTGCAAATCTTAATTATAAAATCCTTCCTCATTAGTTTTCAAGAAATTCTTAGTCATTAATTTCATAGAACAAAAAGAAACCTTACCTATTTTAGCTACAGCAGCTGATGCTGGAGCTGTTTATTCCTCTGCTTTCCGGGTTGATGCTGTTCTTCCCATCACTGTACAGAAGACACTTCAGTCCTTACCCTCTCTCTTACTGCCCTGAATTTCCTTAATACTCACTCTTCTTTATCTCCATAGGGATCTCTGTACACTGAACGAGAGGGCTGAGAGAACACCAAGTCCAGTCACCTTCACCCCAATGGCTGCTGTAGCAGTGAGTTTTTATCCATGAAAGAAAAGGGCCAAACAGAAAATTGCTCAGAAATCCTGAATTCCAACATTTTCCACACAGGAGCAGAATAGGAATTTTATCTTGGAAGGAAGTGCAGGAATCTACTGGTAATGCAGACCTCGAAATATCACAAAACAGGTCTTCATGCCTTTCACACTTACAGTCCTTTAAGTGGATTTAAAAATGGTGTCCTCAGTAGAATTCTTTTTCTTCCTTCCCCACCTCCAAGGAGATGATTTCTGCCCTGTCCTGCTTTGGTGCAAAACATCCTGTGGGAAACATTCTCTGGGAAGCTGATTGTCACAAACCAGCCAAGGGATCAGGAAGGAACAACAGTCTTCTCCACTGCAAAACTATTTCCTAGTGAGACTGTTGAAAGAGGAATTTCTGGTCTTTTCATGTGATGCTTTAGCTTGTGTTCCCTGTCACTGGGCACCCAGATGACTCTACATCCACAGGCCAGTTGTCCCTCAGCTCCTTGACTGAGTGCCCAGATTGTCCCTTCACACACTCTCCAACCCCCCCTGTGTACAAGTTAAATCTCTTCCCATCTCCAGGTTTGCACTCCCTTCTTTCAAAGGCTGATAACTGTCCTTCTGAAGTTGGACAGGACAAGCTGTACATGATACAAGGTGATGGGATCATCTTCAGGAAGCAAGGAAAACGTCTGTGAAGATGAGGTGCTAATATCTGAAAACAAAATATCCAACGAGGGCTTTTGCTTGTAGCCACAGTCACAGCGTAGAGAGAAACAGTCCGGGAGGTTGTTATGGAAACAACTCCCTGGAGGTGCCTACTTGGCTTCACAAGGATGTGCTCTACCTTCAGAAGGAAATAGCTTCAGAAGGAACAAGACAGATTTGCATTTTGAACATTCAGGGGTGAGTGCTGTGGGCTGAGAACTTGAGGTAAAATTCTTGAAAGCATTTCTGTGATTTGGTGACAATGAGACCTCTGTAAAGTCAATGGCACAGGTGCCACTATGTCACTTCAGTCACAAAAAAACAAAAAAAAACAAACCAAAAAACCTTAATAAAAATATCAAATTCCACAAGCTCTATAATATATGGGATTATTGATGACTCTGAGACTTCACTGCAGTTCAGGAGGTGTTTAGAGAAGGATTTACATGCCCAAATGACTCCCAAGGTTACAATTTCCACACTTCTGTTAGCTTTTTGCATTTCTCTTCGCTCTAACACAGAAAATCCAGGGAACAAACACCACTCCTGCTTTGTACATTTTTACATGCACTTTCTTTTGAAAAATTAAAAATGTGGATGACAAAGTCTGCACAAAGCTGCCTGTTTACAACAGAATTCCTTCGCACCTTGGGTATGCATGCCCCTCATCTGTATGGACTTTTAAAACCCACTAGAAACTCACTGCTGAATTTCACCAGATGCCTGTCATGTTGGTCAGGAGAACAACCTGTTCTGAGCAGGGAGGGCTCCTGCCTGGCAGGGGCAACGGGGCCAGGCTGAAGGGAAGAAACGAGCACAGGAATTTTCTGACACGGGCTCAGCGTGCGTCTCATGACTCCTCCCGAACTCATGTTTTAACCTGAGTTTTTTATATCTTACTTTGGGGAAACTTCTATCAGCTGATATACTCAGGCATAAAATATCCCCAAACATGGGCATTCTGCTAGGATAGGGCAGGAGCCTTGAAACATTCCTCTTAAACAGCAGGTTCTTTGGCTGGTTTCCAGCAATGTGAAATTCAAAGGGAAGTCCCTCTCTTGCCCTCACAGTAAAGATTTCATTATAGTGACCCTGAAACACAACTAACAACAACACCAGCTTTTTACTCAATAAACTCAATGACCTGGACTTGGATCCTTTTAGACAAAATCAACAGATGCCACCATGCTGATCTCCTTCCTCAGTCCCACTTATTCACCAGGACAACTTACCCACCAGCTGATTACACTCTTCAAGGGATGCAGAATGGCTCCCAAGGCCCAGAGCTTCACAAACCTTTGCCTCAATCCCAAGGAAGCAAAGAGAAATTATACATTATTCAGGCACACTCCTCTGAGCTATGAGCCCTCACCACACCACGCCTGTATCTCCCAGACTGACACAAGTGGCATTTTCCTCCTGATTTCAGAGAGAGAGAGAACAGAGATTTTAATACAATGGTTGTGTGCTGACCCCACGGGAGATCCCCGCATGCTAAAAACCTTGGAGAGGATAACAGGGCTCTGGAGAAATGGAGTAGAGTCAGGATTTGCACAAACAACTTCTACCATATGACCAGGGCCCAGATGAGGAGAGGCCACAGTAAAAAGCACTCTAGGCATGGAGCCATATCTCAAGATGACTGAAAACAGGCAGGGTAATGAAGATGCAAACAGATCCCTTCTCACAGCCAGTTCTAACTATATTAAAGTATATGGATGGAGCTCTGAGCAACCTGATCTAGTGGAAGGTGTCCCTGTCCACAGCAGAAGGGTTGGAACCAGATGATCTTTTAGGTCCCTCCCAACCCAGGCCATTCTACAATTCTATGATATGCCTTTAGCATTCTTAGTCTTATGGCTGAAAAGCATTATATATACATAAAATGCATTCTATGTATTTTGCACCTGGATATTATGTCTGGTTTATGTATTCCATGCATCACATGCAATATGGAGTACATTCTAATATGCATATCATACAAGATCATGCAAGGCATTAACAGCTGCCTTTGCTTTCATACACATGCAGACATGTGAATGCAAAATATACACTTAGATTTCAAACAGGAAAGGCTTTTCCTTGCAGAAAAATTTGCCAGTAGAATCTGAAAGCATCCATTCCCCCTTTTCACCTGCTGGCAGCAGCTGAAACATTTTAAAGTTCGATGTAAGGCAGAGCTGACTGAAACTAATTCAATGATCTCAGAAGCAAAATGTGCATCTTAAGACACAAATCTTGGCAAACCCAGCACTGCAGGCCAAGCTATGCATATCTTGCATTGCTGGCATATACTGCTCTCATGAAACCCAGTGCAAAAAACACTGCTGTCCCTTCTATCCATGGAACACCAAACACTGGCTGGATCAGTCACACAGCAAAAGCATCCCTTCAAGGCTAGTTGCTTCTCCCCTCATTTGAAACCGTTGGGTTCGTGCAGATAGCTCAGGGAAGTTTGTAACCACAGTCTCAAATGTTAACACACCCTGAAGCAATTTATGCCTGTGAGTCATTAAACCTTCGAGATCCTCCCACAGCACAGGTGCAGCTGCCTGTGGTCAGAATTTTTCAGCCTTGTCAACAAAATACTACCATGCAAACTTCCCTCAGCTATACGAATGCTCAATGTAAAAAAAGCAGTGGAGTCAACTGCTCTCACATGCCCAAATACAGAGCTGGGTATCTGAGGCACAAAGTACATCTTATTAAATGCTATTGTGTGGAGATAACAAATGAATTTACTCAAATGCGCCTTGCATCAGAAGGCACTTACCACTATGAAGATTAAGTTGGTACTATAAAGGCCAATTAACATCAGGGCACTGGCATAAATAAGGCTGAGATAAGCTCAAAATACAGAGAATCATCACCAATACTGTTGACTGCCACAAGCCTGTTTTTGATACATGGTATATACGGTGACGAGCAGCAAAAGAGCCTTCAGATCTATGCACCTTTTTTTTTTTTCTTGAAACACAAACCAAAAAGAGGATCTTCAGCATGCCAAGGGTTGCAAAGAAGGCAGGCATCTGCTTGCTGACCCTCCCCTACAGCTGCAGAGCTCGCTGTGCTCCTGGCTGCAGCGTTTCCATTATTCAAAGGCAATGGCATGGCAGGCGTGACCGATCCCACAGCCAAGGGCACCGCGCCGGCACAGGAACCAAGGGCACAGCTTGAGCCAGATGTTTGTTTGCGGCCCCTTTAACTGTTCACTCTGCTGAATCCTTCAGCCGAAGTAGTGGCAAGGGCTTCTCTGCCAGTGGAGTAACGATGCTTGGTTTCAGAGCAAATGTTGGGTTAAAAGCAGTCTTCAAAAGCAGAGAAAGGAATTCCCAGGGGAGTGGGGGTGACAGCTAGCACTCCACGGAATAAAGCAAGAACATTTCTGGCCGCACACAGTAATGAGAAACAGCAAATCAGGACAGAAGAGCCCATTATCACAATCATTCTGTTTACGGTATCACAATTCACAGTCTGGCATGTAAATGCTGAATAGATCCAGCTGCTTGTAGGAAGGCTGCTGTAGAGCAGCTCGCAGCTCCATGTCTGGACCCAGGAGAACATAACTGATCACACCTCTGTCAGCATCTTCTTCTCTTTAAAACCCTGGTTACTGGGAGGAATGAAGTTGGAGTATTTCATGGACTCCAGGTCTTCTGCTTCCAGGAATTCAGATTTGCTGAGAGACTGGTTACTGTCCCCCTTCTTAGGCTCAAAGAAGGGTGACTGTTGCTGGCCACAGGTGACGTGGGTGTACTGGCACTGCTCCTCATGATCAGTCTCTCGGTGGTAGAAGTAGTTGAAGTTGGACACAATGACAGGGACGGGGAGGGCGATGGTGAGCACACCTGCAATGGCACACAAGGAGCCCACAATCTTGCCACCAATGGTCATGGGATACATGTCCCCGTAGCCCACGGTGGTCATGGACACCACTGCCCACCAAAAAGCATCAGGGATGCTGGTGAACAGGGAGTCAGGGTCATCAGTCTCTGCAAAGTAGACAGCGCTGGAGAAGAGGATCACCCCGATGAAGAGGAAGAAGATGAGGAGGCCCAGCTCCCTCATGCTGGCCTGGAGAGTCTTCCCTAAGATCTGAAGCCCCTTGGAGTGCCTGGAGAGCTTGAAGATCCTGAAGACTCTGACCAGACGGATGACCCTGAGGATGGCCAGGGACATGGCTTGCTGCTGGCCCCCGTTGTTGCTGCTGCCCCCAGATTGTTGCTTCTGCTGCTGCTGCTGGGCCAGCTCGGTGCCCAGGGTGATGAAGTAGGGGATGATGGCCACGATGTCGATGATGTTCATGATGTTGCGGGAGAACTCGGGCTTGCTGGG